GTTCAGTGGGTGATTCTGATACAAAAGGATAATTGTAACACAATAAATGGCTTTTCTACTCGGCACCAGTAAAAGCAAGCGATGGGTTTCGTATCAAAAATAACGCCCTTCAACAGGACTGATACCTACCTCAACATGATATTTAGAAGGAGTTTTGTGGCAACTACCGATTAAGCAACAACCATTTAGAATTGCTGCTTGCTATGTTTTGACTAAACTGACGGGATAAAATGTCTTTGAAAAGAGTGCACCGTTCGGGAAAATACGACCACACAACAACAAAGACAAATCAGTGGGAAAATAAAGGCATCTGGGTAAAAGAACTTCAAGGCAAATCTTAAGGTTGTACTGACCAGATCCTTCGTAAGCTACAACCGCTCATTTTACGACTCTTCTGGTTCTGAACCACAACAAATTCCACTTCGTCCCCTGGCTGCACAGTAAGAAAACATTGAGCATTAGAAAAACGTCAACCTGTGTAAGATCTGCTACTAAGTTAATGCTTGCATAAAATACACACGCTTCTTGCTAAAGCAAAGTCCCCAGAGTCAAACACAAATGAATTGTAAACTTGCCTGAAGTTCCACTTCACCTTCCACTTCACTCATGTGGAAAAACAGGTTCTTGCCTTCCTCGTTTTCATAAGCAATGAAGCCAAACTTAGAAAGAGAAACAGGTAGACATTAAAAATCTAACAACATGTACTGCTATACTGAAAAGTCAAGCTAACCTTTTTTTTCTGTTCAAAACATTTTTCTTCGTTAAATTCTCGGTTCTTAGTGATCGAGAGGACAAAAGGTCAACTTTTCCCTTCAGACAGGGCCAACTAAATGAAGTGTATTTCTTTCTCTCCACCTCAGTTTTGTTCCTTTACACTGCCTTACATCAACACCTAACCTCCTAGCCACATTTTTGTAGCAAACAAGCAAGAGTCAACTGACTGATTGACAAAATTTAAAATTCTCAAGACTGACCCACTCTCTGCTGTGTGCCAGGAAGAACAGAGATAAACTCACTACTCACCTGGCCTTTAAGAGATTCAACTCGCGCCCGCACGCGTTGTCGTATGCTGACTACTTTCATGGCTATCTCCTTCCCAGTCTCTTTATTAACACCCACTTGAAAACGGACCTAACGGGCCAAAAAAAATTAGTTCAAAAGACAAATCTGCCGTGCTTTACTATTGTGCGATGGTAGAGGTTGAAAAAGTCACGCAATTTTTCTAGCGTGACGATACAAAGGGTAATCATAAAAATGATGATTTCCTCGATTGCGATTGGTTTAAAAAAAAATTCCTATTTTCCACTAATTCACTTGCCAAGTTGTTATCGTACAGTTGGTTATTGGACAGTTCAATAAGCCAATCACATTCAAAGTTGTAGTTTAAATCAACCAATCACATTCAGAGTTATAGTTACGTGCGCGCGCGCGCTTGCTTTTGTGTTTTTGGCGCCTAATTGGCGGTAGGAGGCGCGGTGGCCTTAGAATGTTTACATCTTCTTTGAAGCTATTTTAATGCAAATTTTTTCTTTCTTCCGTAACTTGGCTATTCTTCTTTTCTCGGAAATTGTAATTTTTATGATTAATTGGTAATAGGACTGAGTGGAGTCCAATTCGGTCTGTAATCATACTCGTGATAAACAAATCGGACTCCCACTGCGCGGTCGTCCGATTTTGTTATCACTCTTATGATAACCGGACTCCACTCAGTCTCCACTGGTCTCCACTCAGTCCTATTACCATTACTTATTGTTGAAGTCAATAATGTGTCTAGAACATTACAAGGTACAGGCAAGAGTAACGTTCGAAACAGTATTTAGTGGGGCATATTCCCTGAACACGGTAAGCTTGTTAAAATGGTTTCTTACAATCAAGANACTACGTTCCCCTCGACTGTTAGATATTTCCCAAAAAAACGCCAATTTTCCTATAAATTCATATTTGCAAACAAAAACCTTATTTTAGCATGCAATCCAACACTCCTTCTACTTCGAGATGTAGAGACGATGATTACAATCTCAAATTTTCTGATAGAAGAGATTTAGGCCAAATTTGGCTGCAATGCAGACTCGCTCTATGTATCACTTATCAAGAAGTGGTCTCTCGTTGTTACTCTAATTTGCATCATCATGTCTGGCACACCACGTTAACTTACACGGATTGACCGAGCTGATCTAAAAAGACCTAGCAACTAGGCAAGCAAAAAACTAAAACTACAAACCGAATGCTGAAAAAGAACTGATAAACGAAAAACCGCGACAGCGATCAAACCCAAAACCGGATATTTTAAGTGCAAAAAACGAGAACCCGATCTAAACAATGACCGTCAAACTATAAGCTCCAACAACTCCCTACTTTAGAATATTGACAAAATAAACAATACTTTGTGTTTATTATGTGGTTTATTATCTCTAGATTCGTACACCTACGAAAAGTTTATCTGTCAGAACAACAGAGATAGAGTCACGTGTTACGGCGGAAGGAAGATCAAAATAACACGCGCTTACTATGGAAGGAAACAAATGTTTAAATGTGGTGTTGGGGTGAACACAAACTGTGAAGCTGACGGATCCGAAGCTAAGGTAACCTGATCAGTTTTCTACATTTCCCTCGTGTTCTCAAATGCCCGTCGTGTTTTATCACAGTGTAATACATGGCTTAGGCTTCTTTATTTGTTAAATAAATTATTTGTTATTTTGTTCAATTATAAGATAAAGAAAGCTTGTGATGGAAAAGGTAGCTGTGAGCTTCATGCGTCTAATGAGGTTTATGGAAACCCGTGCGCAGTTCTGTCGTCCAAGTACATCCACGTCAAATACAAGTGCTCATCATAAGGTAACATGTTTTCTATTGTAGGAAGTTTATCTAAAATAATACTCAGACTTCGGGTCCCCTTTCTGATTGAGTTTAGCGTCGGAAAAGGGCCTGGAGAGAGTGTGAACTCGTTATGTACCTCAGGACTTTGGAAATGCCCTACCTCCAGTTCCTCCACCCACCTCCCCGGGAATTATATAAGTAAGTAAGTAAGTGAAACGACCTGTAATCGATATTTTAGGAAACTTGTACAACAACTTGCGTAAACGACTCTTATCAAACTATCGTTAATGCAAAATCGGTTAAGCATCATCCACTAGCTGTCTTGACCATCAAGTATATTTCTACAAAAAGAACAGACAAATTAAATAAAATAGTAAAAAATCTCAAAATATCTGGACATACAAATGCATTAACTAAACCTCACTACAAATTTCGACTTAAAGCCTATGCCAGTTAATAAGCTGTCGACGGATTTACTTTAAATTGTTCAAGTTTCCCTGGGAGTTTAGTTTTTTTAGTCACACTTAATATTGGAAAATTGAGGCAGCTTGTTACCATGGGCTAGGGTAGAACCTTCCGTATTTTTCTTCACGTTGCAGCTAGGCCATTTTGCTGATGCAAATATTTCCTAGTTCCATTCCCTTGTGGGGGCAAGAAGTGATCACTCGGCCTAAAATGGCCTGATGAATTCATTAAATAGACCAGATTTTGCCCCCACAAGGGACTGGAGCTAGCATCAGCAAAATGGTGTATTGTTTCTGAACAACCATGTGGCAAACTGCATGCATATCGTCTGCATATTGGAAAATTTGGGAAGGTTTGTTACTCCGGGGAGTTTAGGGTACAACGTTTGTGTTTATCTTCACATTGCATACAACTGCAACAATATTTCCTTAACAATCATATATGAACCCTCCGTCAATCTTGCCTTACCCGGTCCATGAAATAGCAGATTCTACCCTAATCATAGTATTTTTCGCTACCTGAAATATCAACAAGATATAATCTAATACCCATGATAAGCTGAGTCAGATATGTATCTTGAATCACGACCTTACTTACCATTTACTGATATCTGTACGTTCCTCTGCTTCAGTAATAAAAATTGCCGGTGCTGTAAAATCAGATTGATTCGCGGACTTCCTCGTAAAAAACTTAAAGAAAAAAAATGCAGCAGGATAATTTGAATGGAAATTCTAGTCCTCCATTTTGTTACTTAATGTAATTCTTGTTAAATTTTAGACGCACAACTAGTAAAGTGCTTCTGTGCTTGCCAGTTAATGACGATTCTGAAACAAATTCCTTTTGTTGAACCAAACAAGACGGCACTTAAATTAGCTTTTCCTAGACCAATAGTGTAACCGCAACGGACGATTGCGTTTTGTTGCTGTGTTAAGTTCATCCCTGACTTGCTTCTGCCCATTTTATACTCAGTTATGAAGCAAGGCTAACCTTGTAGTTCTGGCTACAAAATTTGCGCCAAAATTGCCCGTGCAAATTAAAATTTGTTCCTCGAACGTCAAGGCGAATACTTTTTTTCGAAAGCCAAAGTCATGGAAGTTACTGCACCTGTTGTCTTTTTAAAAATATCTTTGTTAGCAGAATTATTGATTGCTTTGTGTCGATGGAACCAGAGATCATCCTTCACATACTGGAGTATATCAGAAGATATCTCCCAGTCCGAACATTTCGCGTAACGTATTGACCAATTGCAGAACCGTACAGTGCTCATAATAAAAGAAAATGAACACTTCACTTCCTGTATGTATTCCACATATTTTTGAAAAACAAAATGGTTTACAATATATACCTGTAGGTCAGTTGAAAACAGCAAGGATCCTACACTAGCTCTGTGGCGTGGGCAGTACTTTGCACATTGACACTGCTACAGTTCACTATTGTTAGGACTCATCAATATGTCACAGCAGTAGGCAGAGAATGGGGGAAAGAGCTGATTTTTACCTTCTTGAACTTGTTGCCAATGCTGTTGTCATTGTGGAAAAAAAGGCCCGATTTTTGTTTTTTTCGCGACTGAGACAATGTTCTGTCACTGTGCATCACTCTCTCCCAGTTGTAGTTAATTTCACTTTTCAGATGGGCCTGTGGAATATAGAACAGAAACATCAAGCCAGTATTCGAAGGAATTTGAGAGATCCTAGAAAATGTTTGAAAAATATTCAATAGTATCCGGCGATCTTTGTATATTCTGGAGTAAGTTATTTGGCAAGAGTTTTTTCAACATGGACAGTTCATAGGATAATACAGTGAAACAGTGCTTTTTCGTGGTGTTCCTGAAGCATGCCGCTGTATTGTCTCTTGGATTAACTCTAATGATATCACGACTCACTCTTTTTCTTGAAGTCGATCCGTCGATAATGTGTTGGCCATCATACGTTGATTTTCTAGCCTATAAATTAAAAATAGCTTCGTTTCAATAAAATAAAAGACCACATATGTATTGGAAGAAATATACAACTCAGCAGTTCGGTTGCTAGCCAAGTTTCGTAGAGAATATCCAGTGCAATAAGGAACAGATTTTCGTTGTTTTAAGAGATGGACTTGCCGACAGCCATGCATCATTATATTAGACTTGATTTTACACGATTGGAACATAATTAACTCACTTACTTCCCTTACCATTGTTTGCCACCGTTGTGGCCATTCAAAGGGCCTACGATGTCCACTGCTAGGCCAACCCTGATCATTGTAGTTGTTTAGAGGGCTTAAGTAACTCGGTCTCCTCTGGAAAAAGCAGAAAAACCAAGGTAAAACAATTAGCTCCTACTTAAGCAAGGTTTTAAATTTTGTGGGTGTGATTTAGGAATTTTAACAGAATTGAAGTGTTCAATAACTACATTTTCAACTAAAAGGCTCTAAACACCGCATTTTATGCCACAGTGGACCTAGAAAACAACCTGACTCGGTTGTTTCCAAGAAAAAAAAAGTGATATTGAAAAATTATTTTTGAGAAACTGTTGCACTGTTTCTTACTTGAATTTTATATCGTATATATAAGTAGCTTGTGGCTGGACTGACTGGGCTCTCGATCGCAATAAAAGAAAACCATAACAGGCAAAGCTGTTTATGAACTTTATCAGGTCAGAGAAAACGGAAAATGGAGAAGTAAACTGTGGTGAAAAAACGAATCTCGATGGGTGGACTTTAATTAATTAAGCTTATAACATCAAGCAAAAATCATGTGTAACTTAAAAAGTACATAAGAAACAATAACATCACATACCGTGTGTATGACTTGACTCCGTTGCTGGTTTTCGCTTTCTCCTTTCCAGCGTGGTACCTCAGACATGTTTGCTAGTGCAATCTTATGCAACTGTTTTGAAAATTGTCAGCTACGTATACCTGGTCGAGCAATTTTGTTGCCACTTGAATTCTTTTTTTTTCAGTCCTTACGCAACAATCATGATCGCGTCACAGTAATTTTGCAGGAAATTGAGGATGATACTTTTAATCTTTTTTTGACGTAATAAAAAATATAGATAGATAGACCGTTAATCGAACATGAATTTGCTTTCAGTTGAAATCGTATAGTTAGTTACAGTACTATAGTAAGAGTTTTTTGTGGAGAATGTGTTATTGCTATATGAAAAAAATACAAATAAATAAATATAAATAAAATTAAAAAAATAAAGAAAATAAAGAAAATAAATAAAGAAATTAAAGAAAAGAAAAGAAAAGAAAAGAAAAGAAATGAAAAGAAATGAAATGAAATGAAATGAAATAAAATAAAATAACCGGCATATCTAAATGTCCTTTTAGTAATTACTTAACCAAATTGTGCGTCACGGCATGACTACAGGAAATTACAGATTAATTTTCACGTATTAACAAAGACAACCAATAAACCAAAAATACATAAACCGTTTGTTTTCAGCATTATTTTGATTAATTGCTGTTAATTGCGATTGCGTCAGTAAGTAGTGATGAACTACGGCATGTTAGGAGAAATTGCCGAAGAGTTCACTATTATATTATGTAGCATAATGGATGCTGTTTATATGACGTAAACGTTTTTCTCCAAGGAGAGCTACAAAAGGACAACAATGAAAGGAGCATCAATTACGCTTAATTGGATAATTTCATGAAGAAATTGTCATTTACGTCATTTTATTAAGAGAATTCCTACTAAGCAAGATAATAAATTAAAATGTTTCCAGAAGAAGGAACCGTTGTAAAACAAAGGTCTAAAATATAAATAAGTTACGCATGAAACGCCAAGGAAGAGCAGTAAAAAGTATTTGTGCGTTTGTGTTGAGGAAAATCCCTCGTAGAAAGGACGAGAAACAACGTAACAAACTCAACCCACTAGTGACGTTAGTTCCAAGTTCGAACCAAACCAACCGTTACGGCAAATGTTTGTTACGCGTCGTAATTTATAAGTAAGGAGAAGTAATTAACTAAGTAATAATCGACCAATCAGATTGCTCAATTGCCGGTCCAATATTTACATAGTGTTGGACCGGGAATTGTCCCCAATACAGGTTTTCTGACGGTTTTTTACTTGCTTTCCTCAAAATTACAGTTGCAGTGAAAAGATCCTTTCTCTTTGATTTCCAAACATTTTTTTCCTTTTTTTGAAAATTTAACTGCTCATGTGACTAAAGGCTAATCGAATCAGAATTGTGCGCTTGAAGTTTACGGTGTCTGCAATTTTTGGTAGTGCGTTGTCTTTTTTACACATTTTCAGTTCTATAGTAAATCTCCTATTAACCAAGCATGCTCGGGACGGTTGGTGGGACAATATCGCCCTTTGACCTTTTTCTTTTGAACTGCCTTTGAGGGAGACACTGCGAGCTATAATAAATCAGCGCATTGGCCTGTGGTGTATGCAGTTTTAGTACACCATCATTTCTTTTCAGAAATGGGTCAGTAACTTCATCGAATAGAATTATTTGATAGCCTTTGAAATAAGTGCCTCGACCTTTTTGTGTGGCGCTGTTTACAGATTCTTTCACTTACTAGCCACCCGCCGGTTTTCAAAACCCCCACTTTTGGGTAAACATACTGAAACACTTTGTCTTCCTTTGGCGAGCAAGGAGCGAAAAACATCAGGATATGAAACATAAATAAATAAATAAATAAATAAATAAATAAAGAAATAAATAAATAAATAAATAAATAAAAAAAAAAAATAAAAAAAATAACCCCATGCCTTTTTCCCTAGTGCTCTCCCAGTGTCTCTTTCCATCCAGATGAGTAAATGTGTGGAAAACCTAACAGAACGCTGGGGGCGGGAGGGAGGCCTGTGATGTCTGTGATGAGTTAACATTCCGATCCAAAGCGGGGGGGGGGGGGAGAGAGGGTGTGTAAGGGGGGGTTAAGGGGGTGTTGGAGTCGCAATACCCCGATTACTTCATGCTAAAGAAGCTTCAAAAGGCTTTACTTCTCTACTACTTTTGACACATTGACACGCCGGAAGAGTTAACGGTTATTACAAGGAAATAGGTAGCTCTTAGCTGACATTCTGTCGGGTACTTAGTACACACCAGAAGACGCCACCGTAGTTTGCTAATATGTGGTGACATCATGTCACTTGATACGTAGGGTACATTTCTTAGCTGTCTGGTACAAAACATAAATGAAATTTTCCCTTTTGGAGGTAGAACGTGAACCAAACCGTCGAATTACCGCATTTTCACTGTTAAATTAGTGCCGCCTCAGAACTCTAATGAAACCGGAACCGAATACAGAGACTATAACAATGTTATTTTGTTTCGCTTCACAGGTGTCCGGAGCTCAAAGTGAGTAACAAGCAATGTTCAAGACTTAATTAAGGCCACAATAAAATGGCGTCATTTCTGTTTCATTCATTTGGTCGACTGAGATTTTTGTGTCGACCCCTTCTTTCTAGCGTCTAGTCAGATCCGGACCTGCTTTAATTTACCCGTACGAAACTTCAACGGCGGTTATCTGACAAACGGCACTGGCATTCCTTGGTAACGGCGTTGTGTGCTACAAAGAACGAGTAGACCATCTAACTTTTGACGGGGGTGGGCGGGGGTCAGTGATTTGGTACAGGCACGTTTTTTCTTCAACCCTTTATGCACCAGGAAATTTTTTTTTCTCGGGGCGTATGCGCGCGTAGTTTTCTCCGTGTAACGTGCTTTTTTCGGCTCGCTAAACGTGCGTGAATGGTTTTTTTTTTCGGCAGTAGTCGTGTGTACGATCTTTTTTTCGAAATAGACCCCGTCCCCTCAAAAGTCAAATGTCCACCTTTAAAAGGTCAATCAGATCACTTGGACAGCTGTTATCTGGATCATCACGCAACGCTGCTCAAGCGCCAAGCTCCATTCTACCACAGTTTTCCCCAACCTTCTAACCCACTGTTGTTCTTCTGTTTGGCAAATCTCTTAGATTTCCACCTACGATGTTTAAATGCAAGAAAAAAATAAAAAATAAATAGTAATAAAAAAATCTATTATCACTTTCACTTCGACATCCACTTGCAACTGACACTGTAAGTTAGACACGTGACACTGAAAACTTTCCACTTATAGTTTTATTCCTTCATACAGGATGCAAATCGACATTTCATTTATATATTAAACTAAAATTACCCTAATTGTTTAATTTCACCCTTTGTGTGCAAAATCGAAGAAACTAATAAAAGTAGTGCATTGCTGTGAATCACTCAAACTGAATAGGTTAAAGCAGTATCTAGAGGATTGCTCCGAGTCAACGCTGACAGTTACACTGATTTCGTTTCGCAAACGTTTCACACCATGCTCAGTTCTTCCATGATCCCCCCCGAGGATCAAGACAAGATAATCAGTCTTTAGTTAATGCATTTTGACACCACGTAAGTCAAACGCACCGTTCCAAAGCAACAACACAAACAGTAAGTGTTGCACGAATACTCTTTCTCGAAAAATACCGTGACTTTGTTTGGAAATTGTAAAGATGTTGGTGAACGTCCTTTCCGTGGCAATCGGAGAATAACAGAAAAAATGAACTACAATGTACTAGAAAAAAGAAAAAAATACACTGTAAAGATTGAAATAATTACACTGAGAAAAAATGTTATTACTAAAATGGAGATGCAAAACCGAGGCAATGTGACAAGTAAATCCACAGCTAGTATATAACTAAAGTAATACGGCGCTTATTTACCACGGACTGAACTAGCGCGCTAGAGTTTGATGCTAGATACTGGACATGTGTTATCATATATTACAGTAATCACTTGCTCGCAAGAGCTTTGCTCTGTGAACTTTTCATTCTTATTCCTGGTCACATATCTTGGCGACAAGATCCTCGAACACGTTTCCTTCCTCCACTGATGTCCCGTTCTCGAACTTGGCCGGGGTGTCACTTGATCCGTTCACGGGACACCCCTGGGTGTGGTCGGAGGATGTATCTGACTGGCACCTCAGAGTTCGCTTGTATGTGAATCCTCTGGTGCCATCCGGTCCTGTGGGTTTACGAATCACTTCAATTCTGCGGGAAAATGTAGCAGTACTGTCAACACTGAAATTCGCTTTCCATTCAACTTTTTGTAGTATGTAAATACAAAACTAGGAAAACCTACCCGATTAAAAGAATACCTTTATTCATAATCCATCAGATATTTTCGCTCGCGCGCGATTGGTCTAAACGCGTCACGTGACCAAATGTTCCCCAATTTTCAAAACTGCGCGCGTTGCGAAAAAGATTTGAAGAACAATAAACACAATAGCCTCCGGACATTATCTGTTCCTCGAAGCTCATAGTTTTCCTCGAGCTACGCTCTCGGAAAACTATTCGCTTCTCGGAACAGATAATGTCCGCGGACAAATATCCGAGCATATTTTCGCGCCAAATGGAGGCTATTGTTTATTTATGTCCCGTTAATATTACACCGAAGAGCAGTACTACTGTAAAAATTTTACAATAAAATTAGCTCGCTCACCTGGGTCCAGGGCTCTCAACATTCTCAGAAAACGTTCTACGAATGAGCCGCTCTGGTCGCTGAGAATCACTGCACAAACAACAACAGATTAGGTAATTTATTGTTCACTTCACTTTTAAAGTTTTTATTTAATTTCAATCACCACAGCTTCACAATAAATCAGTGTTTAATTGTTTGAATTCTTTGGTTAATAAAGTTCGTTCGTTCGTTTGTTCGCGTGTGCGTTCTTTCCTTCCTTCATACATTGCATAGAAGGATATGCACAAATTCATTTGCAAAAAGAAAATCTAAAAAAAAAAACCTAGCTTATAACAATTCGGATATTTGCACAAATTTGTCACGGCCTAATATTGCAAATCCGTAAATAACATGGTTCGGCCATTTGGTTCAGTGGGTGATTCTGATACAAAAGGATAATTGTAACACAATAAATGGCTTTTCTACTCGGCACCAGTAAAAGCAAGCGATGGGTTTCGTATCAAAAATAACGCCCTTCAACAGGACTGATACCTACCTCAACATGATATTTAGAAGGAGTTTTGTGGCAACTACCGATTAAGCAACAACCATTTAGAATTGCTGCTTGCTATGTTTTGACTAAACTGACGGGATAAAATGTCTTTGAAAAGAGTGCACCGTTCGGGAAAATACGACCACACAACAACAAAGACAAATCAGTGGGAAAATAAAGGCATCTGGGTAAAAGAACTTCAAGGCAAATCTTAAGGTTGTACTGACCAGATCCTTCGTAAGCTACAACCGCTCATTTTACGACTCTTCTGGTTCTGAACCACAACAAATTCCACTTCGTCCCCTGGCTGCACAGTAAGAAAACATTGAGCATTAGAAAAACGTCAACCTGTGTAAGATCTGCTACTAAGTTAATGCTTGCATAAAATACACACGCTTCTTGCTAAAGCAAAGTCCCCAGAGTCAAACACAAATGAATTGTAAACTTGCCTGAAGTTCCACTTCACCTTCCACTTCACTCATGTGGAAAAACAGGTTCTTGCCTTCCTCGTTTTCATAAGCAATGAAGCCAAACTTAGAAAGAGAAACAGGTAGACATTAAAAATCTAACAACATGTACTGCTATACTGAAAAGTCAAGCTAACCTTTTTTTTCTGTTCAAAACATTTTTCTTCGTTAAATTCTCGGTTCTTAGTGATCGAGAGGACAAAAGGTCAACTTTTCCCTTCAGACAGGGCCAACTAAATGAAGTGTATTTCTTTCTCTCCACCTCAGTTTTGTTCCTTTACACTGCCTTACATCAACACCTAACCTCCTAGCCACATTTTTGTAGCAAACAAGCAAGAGTCAACTGACTGATTGACAAAATTTAAAATTCTCAAGACTGACCCACTCTCTGCTGTGTGCCAGGAAGAACAGAGATAAACTCACTACTCACCTGGCCTTTAAGAGATTCAACTCGCGCCCGCACGCGTTGTCGTATGCTGACTACTTTCATGGCTATCTCCTTCCCAGTCTCTTTATTAACACCCACTTGAAAACGGACCTAACGGGCCAAAAAAAATTAGTTCAAAAGACAAATCTGCCGTGCTTTACTATTGTGCGATGGTAGAGGTTGAAAAAGTCACGCAATTTTTCTAGCGTGACGATACAAAGGGTAATCATAAAAATGATGATTTCCTCGATTGCGATTGGTTTAAAAAAAAATTCCTATTTTCCACTAATTCACTTGCCAAGTTGTTATCGTACAGTTGGTTATTGGACAGTTCAATAAGCCAATCACATTCAAAGTTGTAGTTTAAATCAACCAATCACATTCAGAGTTATAGTTACGTGCGCGCGCGCGCTTGCTTTTGTGTTTTTGGCGCCTAATTGGCGGTAGGAGGCGCGGTGGCCTTAGAATGTTTACATCTTCTTTGAAGCTATTTTAATGCAAATTTTTTCTTTCTTCCGTAACTTGGCTATTCTTCTTTTCTCGGAAATTGTAATTTTTATGATTAAGCTTGTTAAAATGGTTTCTTACAATCAAGAGAAAGTATGCGAAAAATCGTCTCTAATGAAAGCTAATAGGCAAACTATTTGGATGTCAGATACTGGTTGAAAGCTAGGTTTGTCTACGAAGAAGGGGTGCACTTTTGGTCTAGCGGGAAGAAGTTTTTTTTTGCATAGCGTTCGAAATCTGAGAGGGTGTTGAAGCGCGAACAAAGCAAAGTACCTTATCTCCATGCTGAAGGACAGTCTTTTTATCCACAAGACTTGTAATGCCGTACTCAACGGTAAATGACAGCTCTTTATCCGGTTCCTGCTCCACCTCGTTCTCTTCCTCACTGTCTTGGTCTTCACGGGTGATACGCTCAATCAAACCAGCATACTCCACTTGCTGAAAAGTTCAAGGAGGCAGACATGCTTGTTATTCAAAATTTATCCTTTTCCTTTCGATAGCCAACTCAAGTAATGCTGTCTTTTAACCGAAAATTCCCGGATGTACGCCCTGAGCTTATGCAACTTTGTTTCACTGCTGTCTAATGTATAATTTCTAATTTCAAATTGAAGTTGTAAATATCTTCTTTGAAAAAGTTGGCGAGGAAATAAAGAAAGAGGAGAAAATTTACATCGGGAAGTTTGGAGGGCTTATCACGTGATTTTCCTTACATAACAGTAACAAATTTCCAAAGTAACAGTGTAATCTGTTAAAACACCCTTAAGTTCGCATTGCTCTGCACTCTAAAGTATAGTTTCTAATTTCAAATTGAAGTTACAGAGCTGTTCTATGCGAAAGTCGGCGACTGTTAAAGTCTGAGAGGGAATGTTCTGCTATCTCCTTGGAAGAGACCAAAAACAAGTTCTCACAATGTGAATACCAGCGACCTAATTATGACACTGTGTGAAGAATCTGTACCTGCGGATCAGCACGTCTCAGAGACCTCACTACTTTTCCCAAGTAGGCTTCTGGTAGAATTTGCTCCTGTGTAATGGTGCCCTGGGGTAGTTTGACCAGCATCTCTGCACTAACTTTACCATTCTTACATCTGAGATTGTACTCCATTTCATCTCCAAGAACAAGCTCATTAGGTTCACCATCATATTCACTGATGAACGTGTAAATGCGTCAATCAATCAATCAATCAATCAATCAATCAATCAATCAATCAATCAATCAATCAGTCAATCAGTCAGTCAATCAATCAATTGATCAATCAATCAACAGTAAATCAATTAATCCGTCAGTCAGGTCAGTAAGTCAGTCAGGTTTGTTTGTCCGTCTGTCAGTCAGTCAGTCAGTCAAATCAATCAACCAGTCAGTAAATCAATCAATCAACGGTCAGTTGGTCAGTTGGTCGGTCAGTCGGTCGGTCAATCAATCAATCAGAGAGCCATTAGAGCAATATACTAGGCAAGCAGTTTTGAAAGTTGCAGAATTTCTGGTTAAATGGTACATGTATTTAACTAAAATTTAACACTCTTTAATCACATTCACAAACCTGTAATGAAAGAACACTTCTTTGTCATGTTCTGATGTTTCCAAGAAACCGAAGTTCTCCTTGAGTGTAGCAACAAATCCCTTACAAATGAACAACACAAAACATGAGATTCTAGGGGGATACAGGATTTTAGTGAAGAGGGCTAGAGTTATGGATCGCCAAAGGTGGTCCCCTGTAGGAGGTCTGGGGCATCCTCCTCTGGAAAGTTTTTACAATTGAGGTCCTCGGAAGTGACCTTGGAAATAAATTTCTGGCATTCTGAGGCAAACTCATTTTTTTTTAATTTAGGGGGACTAATTCCCCCAACCCTCAAGATCCACCCAAGAGATTCACATCACTTTGAATCAATTTGCTAACAGCACTGCCCTTATGCAAGGCATCTGGATTACATGTACAGTACGGCCACCCTCAGGGAAATGGATAGTGGCTGCTTAAAGGGGGTTGGCTGTTTAATAAAGGTAAAAACAATAGAAAAGCCCTCATTGGGATATCGATTACTGGACGCCTAATAGGGGTGGCCGTTTAATAGGTGGCCGCTTAATAGGGGTTGGACAAACAATTAATTTAAATCTATGTTGTTTTCTAAACTTCACAGCATATCCATATGAACAAGGCATATCCATGTTTGCAGGTTGACTGAAACTAATTAAACAAATTAATTTTCTTTCTATCCCTTGGCCATCATCATCACCAACAACAAGAACAACAACAACAAAATTGCTCACTATTACAAGAAAAGGAAAGAGAAATAAAAACTGACTGGTAATAACAATGGGTTAATATGATACTAAAGTTCAACAATTACAAACATGAAATTGTATATTAATTGTTCACTCTGAGTTAATCAAGATACACAAAACAATTTCCTTACTTTGTGTCGTATTTCACTGTTTCTTCTCAACACAGCCACATTAACCGCCTTTCTAAAACCAGTTCTTTGACTTTCTGACAAGTTAAACTCCACCTGAACAGTAGGAAAGATGAAACACACATTCTCAATTTTTATAGACCCTGCAATCAAATTGGCCAGTGGAATGACAACTTAAATGAAAATGTGTCCTTCAGGTTCTGAAAGTGTCCTCCAGGTTCTGAAGGAAGGAACAAAATTGAATTAGTTACCAGGTCACCAAACTGTGCAGCGCCTCTCAGTTCAAAGCTGTTGGTATCAAATGGCAGTAACTCCCTCAGTCCATTGACACAGCAGTTGATCAGACCAGACTCACTCTCCCTACAAAACAATTTGAATTTCTTAAAACAAACCAACAGCAAAGCAAATCAAGCAAGTAGCACAACATGCAGTAAGGGTGATTTCCATTCAACAGCACTAGCCCCTGTTACCCTCCAAGGCCATGCTATTAAAGTAAGCCAGCTGGCAAAACACATTCCTCAATGGTTGCAAAGAATCATAGATGTGTGATACCTACAATATACATGTAATGTTGAGTTTCAAACAGGATGAAAACTGGTGAATAAGGGAAATGAAAGGTAACATGAAAGAGTCCGTTTTCGGTGGTGTTCAAGAAATTTTTTAACAGAAAATTACTGCCTAGTCAATCACAATCGTGCACTCAAGCTTATATATACAAACCAATCAAACCATAAAGGCTGGCTATGTGAGTTTCGCAATTACTGAAATGGACAACGAGTCTGTTTAATTCTCACCCACCTGTTACTATCTTTTCTAGGACTGCGACTGCTGTAGGAGGGCTCTCTTTCAATGTATCCTTCATATATCTGGGATGAAATGCTCTACAAATAAAGTGAAATATGCATATTATGAAATACTAAAAATCACTCAACAGACTAACAGGACTTATGGATTAGTTCATAATAACCTGGCAGGGTTGTGTATTAAGCAGAAACACATTGTAAAATTGTTCAGTTTAACTTTTAGTTATTTTCAAAACAGAAACTCTCCTAATTGATCCCCAAACGTCATTTCTGGTATACATAGCCTTCGTATACATAGTTCTCGGTTTCATTGAGGGCAAGGCACCAGACAAACTGACAGGTTGAGAGGATGATTTAGTCTGCCTGGTTTTAACATCTACAGGAAAGTTTTTCTAGCACAGTTCCCAGTTTGGCTGGCCTGTGAAAACCAGTTGCTCTCCTGCTGAAAAAGTTACTAACCTCCATCTGGATTGTTCCTTTTGGTACAACTCTCACTCGAATAGCATGCAGACGCTTAACAGCAGATGTGTCCTAAAATCATAAACAATGACACAGTTCTTGTATCAGTATATTTTGTGTGTTCAGTTTTCCTGACTCTTTAAGACATAAAACTGTCATCCCTTAAAAATTCTGATAAAGCAATCAATAAGACATTGATAACTTGCAGTTCAGGATAGAGATCATAAGTTAACGCCCAAGCCACGAGCCCCCTGTGCCAGGCACCCATCACACTCAAGCCAGATGGCTAGTGGAAAGGAAAAAAAAAGAAGAGGAGGTGGGGGGCGGGGGATAGGGAGGGAACGCCGAGAACCGCTAAACTACTATAATTCAACTGACAATGCCATGCTAACAGAGCAACGAACACACTGCAAGCACATGGGATGACAANGGGGGGGGATAGGGAGGGAACGCCGAGAACTGCTAAACTACTATAATTCAACCCACAACGCCATGCTAACAGAGCAACGAACACACTGCAAGCACATGGGATGACAATGCACGTACTGACCAAGAATACCGCTGGACAATGTCAGCCCCAGGGCTCCCACAACCATATGACTGCTGGAAATGCTACAGAACGCACCAAACGCTTAACCAATGCTAACAGACAGCTAAGACACTAACAAACGCCTACAAAAAACGCTACTGACCAGACTAGCTCCTGGTCATAAACTATGTAACATTTCATTGAACTATATCAGATGCTACAGAACGCACCAAACGCTAAACAAATGCTAACAGACAACCAAGACACTAACAACTGCCTACAAGAATGCTACTGACCAGACTAGCTGCTAGTCGTTAACTGTGTTAAATTCCATTTAACTATATTAAGAATAAAATTAATGTGCTGCACAACAATCAACTCCACCAACCTCAGACACTGCAAATTCCACTTCATCTCCAACTTGAATCTGGTGCGCCTAATTTAAAATGTAACATAGACACATGACTATGCAAATGTCACTATTAATCTTTGATAATCACTGTACAAGGTGGATCTGAAATATTCCATACTGAGGGTATAAAACTAGGATAAGCACTCTAAGGGAGATTTTTGTTTTCTATGCAAAGGCCAGTCACATGCATGTACATGCACCCTGCTGGCAGTATTGCTGGCATTACACATTATACTGTGCATCAACTCTTCAAAATTGCATATATAACAATGGCAAAAGTTAGTCTTGGTCCCTATGATGAATGAAGTGATGTAGTAAGGGTTGCTATTGTTAAGGTACATTTCTGTTCAACATTGATCACATACAGAGTCTAGCAGTTCACTAAAGTGGAAGAACATCCTGGCATCTCTGTCGCAGCATTTTATGAACCCAAAGCCTTCCTTCAGTGATGCAACAACACCCTGATACAAACAAAGGGCTTTTTTAGATTAGCTTGACAAAATTAATATTGGCCATACATCAACAGTATTAAGATAACATGTACATGTACAATTGTAGCAACATATGAATTAATGATCAATTTTAATAAATCTCAATTAAAATTTCATGTGGCTGAATATTATATGCCAAGTTAGTTTGAGCTAATGCACCTAGCAGTTCTCCACTTCTGAAGTACATGACCTTTTGGGGGGCCTATGACTGCTATAACTGCTATAACTAGGGCCCACACTTTGATGGTTGCTCTTTTTTGATATTCATTTATCCTTAGTAGTTTTATTACAAGTGGACAGCTGTATTGTTCACTTCCTAAATGGTGTTCCTCTTTTCAGGTGACAAGTAAGTTTGTTTCTCACTCTTGAAGGGCAAGTATGAAGACTACACGTAGATTTGAAATCTGTAGAGAGGCATTCACCTAAGCACTCAATGATGTCAACCCATTGAAGTTATTTCTGACTTGTACCCATGTACCCTGTAGTAACCTCATGTGTTATATATTATATGTTATAGGAGACTATTGGATTACCATTTCTCTTGGCTCCCCGTCATCTGGTTCTGCTACATCAACCAAGCTGATTTGTGTAGCTCTCTTTAGTGAGTCGCGGCGATCTAAATAACAATGTAACATGAATATTACTGCAACATCACAATACACAGTTCATGAAATGAATAAGCTCAGAGAAACTTTACATCCATACAAGTCATACAAATAGACAGACAGACAGACAGACAGACATACAGAGATATACTTGTTGGGCACTGGGCAAACTGACTGCTGTGAGGACAATTTTGCCCACCTAGTTTGACCATCAAGCGGAAAGGTTTCTTTATAAAGAAGTTCAGTTCAAATACTTTTGCCGGCCTGTGAAAACCAGTTGCCCTCCTACTGAAAACCTTAATGGAACCTAGCTGCATATTTTATTGCAACTCTCTAAAAAGGGTTTTCAGTTACAGGACTACATAATTAAATCACATGTATCATGTGTAATATAACTCAAAAAGGCACACATGTGATGTAGGCTGCATGGTGTATTCAGCTATGATGAACAGGAAATGACCATTTGTAGTGCACACAATTCTCTCCACATTTTATGACTTACAAACATTGGATGCAGCAATCACAACCTACCCACTGCAATGTTGAATTCCACTACATCTCCAGCTCTGAGAGAAAAGTCTCCCTGCAAGTCTCGTTCAGAAAAGACAATCTCTTCCTCAACATCTTCATTATCAGGTGAAGTGAAGACTATTTTTCCATGCAGTGGATCATTTTGCCGTTTTGCAGCTGATTTACTCAAGGGCCGATCCACAGTTCCCTGATATCTCACACTGCTCACGTCTTCAAACTTCACAGTACCCTCAGGAAGTTTTTCCACATGTACTGCAACTTCTTTACCCTGCTTGGAAAGTGTATCAAATTAGTTTGATAGCATCTGATGGTACAAAAAGAGTAGCTACATACTTTAAACCTGAAGCATAATCCATTGACCATACCTAGTGCCTTATTGGGGATACGGGTCAACAAGTCACAAGTATACAGTCACAAAAACATCAAAAAGAACGAACTACATGAAATTTTAATTACAATGTAAAATATGTTAGGACTACTGATAAAAGAAAAATTTAAACCAGATCACCTACATGTAAGCAAACTATAGTGCAGCAACATAAAACAACTAAATTTATATGTTAAAGTACTGAAACAGCTTGTGAGTGCTGGTACTACTCAGTCAAAAAAACTTTTATGTGAGGGATAGTCCTAATACTGTAGCTTTTCAACCTTGAACTGTAGGTAGTATTATTTATGGCAAGGGATAAATTGCATGTACATGTATATGTATATATACAATTACACAATTTCACACAACACAAAACACTGAGCCATACATTTCTTGCTTGTATCCCAAATTCCACATCATCTCCTAGCATGAGCTCATTAATATTCCCTCTGAATTCACTGTAGTGGAAGAAGATCTACCAAAACAGAAAAACAACCATACTGTAAGAGTTAAAGGGGACGCGAAGCTTGGGTTAGGAGCAGATTTCAAACCTTGCAAAAGACGGCAAGACAGTTATTACTGTCAGAGTTTAAATTAATTGAAAGAGAAAGGCTACATAAAAAGCTATGCACCAGTCACACACTTGTAAATTAATCTAAAAACTGACAAGAATGAGGAAAGCTGTGACCAAGGAAATATTGATCTATCAAAAACACGTCCAGGGCTTGAAAAAAAAACTTGAATTCCTGCTTGCCCTTTGTATGAGTAGCTCTCAAAGTTTGCTTGCCCTGGGTAAGTCTTAGTTTACTTTTCTTTCTATTTAGTTGGCAGACAACTTGGGCCCTGGGTCCTTGCCCTTTGGGCAAGTGAATATGAAAAGTTGCTTGCCCAAAGGTAACTCTACCTGTCCCGGACAACTAGATGACACTTTTTTGAGCCCTGATACACTATACTGCCAACTTTACAGAACAAATAACAAGAGAAATGCCTCCCTCCATTTCAAGATTGACACTAAAAGGAATAAAATAAAATGAATCTTACCTCGCTAACTTTGTCTGCTCTCTCAATGAATCCAAATGATTCTTTCATTGATGAAACAACACCCTGTAACAACAGATCAAAGATCACATATAGCTTATTATCTTTATTGATGCCCTGCCACTAAAGTTTAAGAGCACAAAATGTACATTGTAAACACTGCATAACAGTCCTTTGAACAACTGTCACTATCCTTTAAAGCTTGTTAGCCACAAAATCTGAAGTTGGGATGCAAATTGAAATGAGAAACAGTGAGGATAAATCAGTACTGTTAGGAAAAAAACAAACAAACAAATAATCCTACTTTGAAATGAGAAACAGTGAGGATAAATCAGCACTGTTAGGAAAAATACAAACAAACAAACAAATAACCCTACTTTGACACTGACACAACATACCTGGCATTTCTCAGTATCTGCTGCCTCTAAAAGGGTAACTTCACGAGCTCGGATAACTCCAGTTCTTTAAGAACAAAACTCAGATCAGCAACACAAAAAGATTATACATGTACATAATATTAGTCTGAGCAAGCAAACTGTATTTCGAACCCTGAGACAAATTAAAGCTATCATACACATCACCATAGTCCCAATTATTAGCAAATCTTAGGAAAATGATTTCCACGAAATAAATGGTTTTCAGTCATTTCACTTTTAAAGTAACTTTACACTGTAACCGTTAAAAAATAAATTTCCAGGTGGACAAAAAGGTAACCCCCAATAAGGTAACAGTACAAGTTTATGTTAAGTTCAGTTTATGTTAAGTTATTGGAGCATACCTCTTATCAGTGGCTACATAAAATTCAACTTTGTCTCCCTTGTGGAGAGGTGTGCCAGAATTATTGACATCACTTGCAGAGAATGAGAGATAAAAGTACTCCTGGAAAAAATAGAAAATATCACATTAGATCTGTTACAAAAAGAGACCAGGCTGTCTGGCAACCTGGATCAATTAAGTGAATTATTGCATTTATTTGTAACAGATATTTTAGAAAACTAAAGATCTTTTCTGTGTTGACTTACTCCATTTCTCTGATAGCTGACCCGTCCCATGTCAGGATCAACAAGTCCATTTGATGGCTGAATGCAAAACAGATACAAATATATTATTGCACACATGTTATAATGCCTTATTATGAATTATAGAATATAACTGTCTTAAAAATGTTTTTTTTCCATTAGTCAACCTACAGCATTGACATTTTATTTCTAGTCAATCAAGAGTATGATATGATGCAAAAATTCTAACACTCTAAGGAGATCTAAAGATCTCTTCTATATATTCAATAACTTTGCATATCCAGGAAAGAGATATTCAACCATTTTCCATTAAATTTTATTAAATAATAAAATAATACAGTTTAATGTAATCTAACCTCCTTTGAAATACCTTTGGAGCCATTGACAGCATACATTTACTAATTTCTCAAGACATACACATGGTTAAATATGCATGCACTAACTTAAAACTTAAATTTATTAGTAATGGCTACACGTAATGAATCAAGAATAAGCACTTACAGATTTTGCAGTGTTTTTCAAGTACAATTTGGGCTCAGCATCTATGACTCCATTCACTTTGTCTTCACTTCGAATCTGAAAACCAATAGTGAAGAAGACCCAAAGAAGCTCAGCCTACAGACATACATGTACACACATGCATGTACATACACAAAAAAAATATGTTAATGTGGTTATTCATGGGAAAAATATATTAAATTACCCAGAAAAAGGAATTTTCTGAGGTTGTCTCTTCATAAACAGTGAGGTCTAGCCAGTTTAATCAGAATCTTCCTGCTGTGTTACACTCTTGCTCTAGGTTTTTCCCTCCATGTTTAGGACTTTACAAAGATAACAATATAATAATTGCTTTCGACAATAAGGAGATCGCATACTGATCACATCCCACAAGTTTTCTGTCCTGTAGGTATTTTAAATGATGCCAGACGATTTCAGACGTTGGACGCCATCTTGGAATGACTGACTAGCTAACACATCACCTCAATCTCATGTGATAATTCTCAGTGCACATGGTACGGTACAGTACCAACTGCATGCAGGCATCTGAGCAGAGAAAAGACTGCAGGCTCGGAACTTGTATTCTATGTGCATGCAGTTCACGTTTTAGCGAGTGCTTTGAGATGTTTTTGCTGTTATACCTGGGGTATGCGAAGTTGTATTGGCAAGCCTTACCTCCTGGCAATCACATTGCTCTAATATGGTCATAAAGTTGTACATGTGACAAGTGTGGGGCGAAGACAAAATCTGAGTTCCAGACAGGAGTTGAATCCTCAACTTCCCAGATATGGGTCAGGCATTTTAACTAGCTATTGAGCTAAAGAGAGACTATGTTGAGCTGATCAATATGTTAGCTAGCTCAAATGTAAAAACCTCAATAGACAAACCTCAAAGGACACAGATCCTGCTTCAAGTCTAACCACACGGCAAGCAATTGGCTTTCCTGTCCGCTGATCTGATGTAACCTCAAATTCCATTTCATCTGAAAGACAAGAACACATGACGAAAATAAGGCAATGATTATGAATTAAGGAATTTCACAGACACAAGTTGCTGCTCTGAATGGCAAGAATATTTCCACAATCAAATTTTTTATAGGTAGGGGATTTGGTTGGAAACCTGCCTGAGCACAATAATTCCCTAAGTTTGTGTTAATCTACATTGCATAATTATGATACATGATGAACAGCTGTACATAGCATGTCACAGTTTTCATGTGTTGTTGAAAGAACAGAATAATAGGGCGTGGAAATCTATATAAACATGAAAAATCACTGCTGGCCAATCTTGTTAGGAGCTTCGTTTGCACAAAATGTTCTCAAACCTCTGGCACCTTCATGTTGTTTTCACAGGGGTATTCTTTTCCTCTTTGCTGCCTTGGGAATTTGTCCATGATAAAATTCGCAAATCATAATTTCAAATTGAGGCTTTGTGGAGAAATTAGCAAAAAGAAGTCGGATGTCGAGGTAGTTAAGGGTTAAATAAAGAACAGTTTCTCTCTTAAGAACAACGCAGGTGCAATCATATTCTTGCAATGAGTAGATTGTGAATAGAACAATTCAGATACATGGATTACCAATACAACTCTCCAATGTCTACTAACACACTCGTGTGTAGATTTCTATCTGGAGTGATATTGACAACAATGAATGTCTGGGATTTAACCAATTTAAACAACATCATTTGCTGTAAGCTACATCACACCAGCTGTAAGTATGTAATGTGCTTTAAAGAGCAGATGAGATATCAGCAGGATGATCATTTTTCCCTGTGTCTCATATCATTGTCAAAACTGGAGATATTGGAAATAAAAAGTAAACTTCACACCGAAAGATATCGAACCAGAAAACTCCTTGTGTATACCTCCAACATTCAGGTCCTCAGGGTCTTCATTGATTTGACTGTAATGGAAGAAGATCCGCAGTGCTCTCTCACAGCACTGGATAAAACCATATGAATGCTACAACAAAAAAGATACAGAATGAAAAAATATAGATATATCTCAGATTATCCTAAAGAACATTTAAATAATCAGGGCTATCAAAAAGTGCCATCTGGCCCTCCTCCATGGACAAGTATATTTTCCTGTAGCTAGGGCATGTAACTTTTCCTTGTCACTTGTCAGACAGGCAAACAGGCAAGCCTGGTGTAGGGTAAGTTGTTTGCCAATCAAGTCATAAAAAAGGAAAGCAAAAACAAGCATACCATTACCCTGGGAAAAAAAACATTTGGGAGCTAGTTGTCCATAACGAAAGCTGGAATTTAGATACTTTTTTCAGCCCTGATAATGAAGCAGACACATAACCAAAAAACATTGTTTTGTAAATGCTATTTTACTCTTTTTTTTTTTTGACCAGAAAACATTTAGACAGAATTCATGACTGCTGGTTATGAAAGAATAATGACCACTTACCAAGAGTTTCTCAACTACACCAGTTTCTCTTGCTCTGAAAGGAAAATCAGAACAGCGCCAATACAAGCCAAATATCACCACTCGTCTAGTATTCCAGTATTGCCATAATTCTCAATTTTTATTTACAACACGAGTTGGTTACAATTTATAGATTAACAAAAATATCTAATGACCTAATCAGTTCTTACCTCAATGACTAAAATGAAAGAACACTTCTTTAATGAACATGTTCATGGAAAGCACGTGACATTTTAAATATTTTTTATGCTTTATTGTTTGTCAACTTCTAGATAATGTCACTAAAATTGTCGCATCATTCAGAACAGATCTACATTACAGAGGATAAGCAGGACTGTGCATGAAGTGACATTTTGAACTGCATACAAAAACCAAGACAGTATGCCAAGATAAACCCAAATCATAAAGAAAGCCAAACATGATAGTATTTTTATTTACATGTAGCACTTCCTTATGAATCTGTTTGGAAGGGAATGGGTGAAAATGACAATAAATCACTGTACATATACTCTCTTATTTTTTACTGTTTGCATGATAGTGATGAAAAAAACTTACCCAGAATGTCCAGAGAAAGAACTACTATATGAGTAAGTCCTTCCCTTGTTGGTATTGCCAATATAAAAATCACGCTCATTAAAGTCGTATGATGGTGTTCTGGTCCGATCCCTGCGTTCAGAACCCTGCAACAAGAAATCCACCCTTCACTGAATTCGATCAACACTACTGCTATCATGACAATTACTGTACATACACTGGAATGACACTTTAAATCATATCGTGACCAGCATCATAAATATACCCAAGATGGCAAGTTATACTGTATTCCATCAAAGGTTACAGTATACTACATGTAGCTACACTTTGCCATCTAGCTCCAGACAAAGCACTCACCCACTTTGGTGCTTTTCTGTTAGAGGAGAAGGTCACTCCAAAAAGCTTACTTTTTTTGTCTTCACCTATAACAAGTAAACATTCAGCTTTTCCACGCACCTAAGGTTAGTTTCAGCCTCTGAAGTGCCTGTTATCCTGAAGAAATTCATCTTGAAAGAAGCGACTTAGGAGACTGCCACTTTGAAACTGTCTTGGTAGCCAGGCCGAGGTTATGTGACGTCATTCCGTCCGACTCAAAACTGGCAGGAAGGAGAAAATCCTGCCACTGACTTGGCATCCTTCACAAGGTCAGCAAAATCTTTTTTTTTTTTCCACGTGATTATCCACTTCACTATCTTCAATGCTATCATTTCAGAGTTTGGAGCATGTTTGGCTCAAAATAATATGGCTCAAGAGCAGCCATAACCCAGAGTGGTAGTTAAAAGGCTCTTTGGAAGCCATTTGGACAAAATCTCACGGGCAGAATGACGTCATGAAAACGTGGCCTCGCTGCTGAGTACTGTTCAAAATGGCCGAAACAATGTTCGAATTTTGGGCTTCTTTGGAGACGAATTTCATAAGGAAAACCTGCACTGTAGAGGCTGAAACTTCAGTGAGTGGCTAAACTTAGTGCAAGGTTTTTATCAGTGTTGACAAAAAATATACGGTTTTTGGAGTGACCTTCTCCTTTAAGGCACTGACCCAAATAATTCAAATTAAGTCTCTATTACAATACCTCTGCAGACGATAGGTCTGTGGTATGAAACCCAGAGCTCTGATTGGTTAATCATATGCATAATACCCACTGAGAAAACACGTAATTTTTATATTACTCTATATTGCAATAATATAAACAAAATTTATTTATTTATTTATTTGACTTTATTTATACACGGGTAAAACATCAGGACTTAAAGTAAACACTAAAATTGCATTAATTACATTGTTAAGATACTAATCTACTACTAATTAAATCCAATAACAACAAAAATAAAAACAATAACGAAGTGCCTGCTTTCCATGAATGCCGTGTGATTAATTAACTTATTTATTATGAAAAAGGAAACCTCTGCAGCTGGATTTAAAACTAGCAAGAGTTTGCGCTTGCCGCAGATTGGTAGGTAAGCTGTTCCACAGCACCGCAGCACTATATATAGCTGAAACTGTTTTTTAGAAAATCGGTGCGGGGAGTGGAACAGCTAGTTAAATCCTACAGATTTTAATTCACGACAATTTGGACTATAAATACACAAGCATGCCTAAACAGCAAGATTCTTACCTTCCAAGTTTCAGTTGCCATCTTCAGAATTTGATAATGCAAAGTTTGCCAATGAAAAAAATTTATATAAATCTTTTGAACTCCTTTTAAACCAGCTCCTCTAAATAACAAAATCTAACTATACAAAAATGTTTGGGGACATTAATTTGGCCTTGAAAACTCCAATCTCCAATGTTTGCCTGAAAAATTAAAAAACACCATGATTAAAATAGTACAATAATTGTGACTTGATCAAGAAGTTAAATGCTTAAAGATTTTTCAAACAGATTCAAAAAAGTGAATGACATTTCAGTGCCACATTACACCATTATCAAGTTAAAAAGTGAAAAATAGAAGGTGTAATAAGAATATATAAAATATGAATAACAATACTAAAAATATCTAACTAAATAAACAAATAAAAAGTTGAATTTGTGTACATATTAAAAGAGAAATTTACGTAACATATAATTTTCAAATGTTCCTCAATGTTTGTATTCAAGTTGATGCATGTTCCTTTAATGGAACTACTAAATTTTGTCGATTTCTCTGCATCTCTGTAAGAGGTTTAAAACCACTACAGTGTATTTAAAATTTATTTAAATCACTTCTAGCGGTAATTAGTAGTAAAGGGATGACACGAGTACCCACCAGAAGACAATTAACAAAACACAGCCTTTGCTATATATCAATCTTGGGTATGAATATTGAGTTCCAATGAGTTTGAAGAAAGGAAGGCCCCTACAATTAGGTCTGTTGGCAAAGGTGAAGTGTACAAAGGCATCATCTCGTTTTCATTTGCTTCCGGAGTTTCCTGAGTAAAGAAAATCCAAGAGTTGAGTAAATGATCTCAATATCAGAGATGGGTTTTAAGCTTAATTATATTGACAAATTCGCAGTCAATAACGATTAACTCGAAGCACGTTGAGTGAATTTTACCTAATAACAGTAACAAGGCAAAAAAAAAAACCCAATCATTTAAAAGAAATGAAAGAAGCAAATAACCAAATAATTACAAGCTACAATTGTTAAGACTTTCATACTGCGACGTCTGAACCTTACTTTAAGAATATTTGATGCGAAGAGGTCTTCTACGACGTCAACACGCCACAAGCAAAGGACACACGTTTCTTCACACTACTGTTTATATAAATGTTCACGATAACTTTTGACTCATTCGTCAACAACATGACTTACCCTCATCTCAAATTGGTAGTTCTAAGACACTGGGCGTGGCCAGAAAATACCAGGCACGCAGCAGATAACTTTTAAAGTAAGCCATTAATTAGTCGTGTCTGTCCCCCAGAACCGAAAACGCATTTTCAGCAAAATATTTCTAACAATGGTACATTTCTCTTCGCACAGTTGAAGCTAAATCATTTTCTCCATAACCTGTCAAGTATTAATCACGTCTGGAGACGATAAAGCGACGTTACACTTGTTGAAACAAATCTGTTCGGTAGAAATTTACGTCTACCCAAGAACGTTCATTTCCTTCAAGCAATGTAATTAGCATTCAAATCTTCTCTCTTCAACGCCCGCATGTCACCTTTTTGAATTTTTCAAGCAACTAAACACATAGACTGGGAAATTATTCATCGAATAGAGTAGTTTTACAAACCTTCGGAAGGAATATCGCGTAGAAGGCGAGTTATTCCTCCCAGTGTCATGGAACCAAAAAGCAGCCATCTTGGATCTTCTTTCACCATAACACTGATCATGTGACCACTTCAGCCACATGTGCCCCGTCTTATGGGCGGAACCTTCAAAGAGCGATGATTGACGCAGTTGATCTTTGACGAACCGACAAGGGGGGCCGGCTCTGGCACGGTCATTGAAAAAAAAAATAATAATAATAATAAATTACCATTTATACATGTACTGTA